ACAATTTCTCGTATTATTTTTGCAGAAAGTTAGTTCTTTTTTCTCCCCTTAGCCCTTCACTTGTCGTTTTAGTTACAGTTAAAGAGTCTATTGCTCTTCCGTTCAGGAAAATCTGAAAATAGATATACTTTAATTGCTTAAAAAGTTGTGCAAAACGAGTATATTAATCTAATATGAGATTATGGTGTTTATTTGCTACATAACCAAGCTCTATCTCCTTCTTATTTATTGCTAAGTTAGTCTATCGTAGATCGTGTTCTTCCTGTCAGTTACTTTTCTGTTTAAACTTTTGCCAACCTGGACAGCATTGAGTCTGTCTCTTTATACCTTATTTTCAAAATTAACCAGCTTCAACTTCCATGACTTATTTTAATAATCTGTTGCCTTTCAATATAGGGTCAGGCAACTGTGCTATATAACATTAAATAACTCATGTCTCTAAAGTTTAAGCTTTTGCATGAGATGTTCATTTGAATCTCACCATCGTCCATTTATGAGAAAGTCCACATACGAAACTTTACTAAGAAGTAGTCTATACCAGATGAAGTGTGTTAGAGTTACTGCTTCTTAAATTATTACATCTGTTAGAGATTAAAATTAAATATGAGATAATCATTAACCACGTGGTTCACTTGCTATTGGCATACTTCACTACTTATTTTTTTTCCAGTCCAACTGTTATGTGACTGAGGTTTACAATTCAGTCTCAAGTTTCCCAGAAGATCCTCGCATCAGAATTCCAACAATGGCTCGTTCTTCAAAGCTTCAAAGCTGCTCGACTGTTGATTGTAAATATTTCCAGTCATTTATAAATTTGGTGTACTTTCTTCCTGTACCTGCCTCTTCATATTTCATTTTTCACTCACATCATTTTATTGATTGGTTTTAGATTGTACTGGATTGCAGTTATTTTCGTGTTAACCCGGTCGGTATAGGGGTAATATTGAAATTTATTTTCAATATGTAATCCAAATTGTGAGCTGTATACTTGATGTATACGTAAATTTTTATTTTTTTCCTTTTTCAGGAGGATACCGGCTATTGTGTCAATGAACTGTGCCAAGTGGGAAACGGTGACACTAATGCTGAGTAAGTATCCCATCAGCATCGCTTGTCCAATACATAACTCATTCGATAATGATTTTAGCTCTTGATTTCATATTAGCCATGCTAGTTTTGTAGTATATTTTGTTTAGATACTATATTTCATCAGCTCGCCAATTGGCCCCATCCTTATTTGCAAAGTATAAATCTTTCGTGGTCTTAGTTTAAGTGTTTTATGCACAAGGTTTTGTTTCTTCAATGGTATAGCATGTTTATGGGTTGTTCAGTATACCAAGGTATGCACCCTATTTTGGGAACACTTGTGAAATGTTTTGGATAAATGGGTTTTGAGATTGCAAGTAAGATTATGTTACTATATTCTTTCTAAGAATTGCATGAGAAATACCATTTTTCTCATTCTTGTGTGAGAACAGACGAGGAATCGTTTAAAACCTAGGACTAGGAGGGAAAACAATTGATGGTGCACGTACTAATGGCATTTTTGTTTAGATTGTGTGATATTCTTCTAGTTACAAGAGAAATATGCAGTACTTCTAAGAGTAGGTGAAAAAGGATTTATCTGTTCCACGGGATGGTGAAGGTGTTCCTTCATACTGATACTTCATGCTTTGGATAGTGAGAGAAGTCATATTCATTTTCATTGAAATAGAACTTACCCTATGGTGCACCAAGAAATTGATGGAATGAGAGAGCATTAAAGTTGTTGCAATGGTATTGCCAGAATGATTTTACACGTATTCGCATCTTGATTACAAAGTTCTCCTCTAAGGATTAATAGAGTTTATCAAATGGACCTCTTGCAGATTTACGGCTGAAGATGATACGATTGAGGGGATTAAGCAGAATAAAATTGTCCATCAGGTTGAAGAACTACTATTTCTTGCCTCATATTATGAGATCTATAGGAGTTGTATTGATTGTCTTTTTCATGTGTAGAGTAAGTTTGTTCCAGAATATGGGTATAGCTTTTAAATTGATGTGCTAATACTTTGGTGTTCACTGATAATTATTACTACCTCTAAAGGATATTTTGACATACTATTTTTTTTTCAATTCTCAACATTGATTATTTGCTCTCTTAGCACACTTTCATGGTTCTATATTCAGTGGCATGTTTCTAATGCAAGTTTCTAGGATTAGATATTTCATATCTACTGCTCTTTATGTATTTCCGTCTCTCTACTTTGGTTCATCCAGGTTTCATCTGTCTTGACTGGTCAAATCATTGTCGAAGACGTGATATATAATCAATCTCAGGATATCACATTCCGCCGCCTTTATTTTGAAAGAACTGAGAGTTTGATGCATTCTGAAGCTCCATTATCCACAGAAGCTTTCCGACAGAAGAAAGGAAAACCAAAAAAAATTGATTCTCACGGTGAATTTCTGATATCTATCAGCTTTTCTTTTTTTCCTTATGCACTTTAGTTAACCCCATTTGGGTTTTGGAGCCATTTTAAATTATGACTTTTTGCTGCATACATTCAATAATTTGTTTCCTTAATGTAGCCATGTATAAGATATTAGCCATGTTCTAATTCTAAGAATTCATCCATAGCTAATAGAATTGGGAAACAAAATAACCACAGGATACTCCAGATTATACTGTTCTCATCTGCATATTTCACTAAGATGAAAGAAAATTCAAATTTTGTCCTCCGATTCTTTATTTACACACACACAGTCATAATACTTTCTAGGATTGGTAGACTTCAGGTTCTTTTGCTAGGCGGGCTTCTCTGAGAACGTGGTCTGTCAATTTATATTTAGGTTCCGGTGGCAATAATTGTAGGACATATACCTAAGGCTCAGTGAAACTATCTTCATTGCGAAAATTGACACGCAAGCAGCTTTTACTACACATCTCTAAGTCATCTCTTTTTTTTCGAAGCTACCTTAAAAGCCTTTTAAACTTACTGTTATCTACCGCTGAGGAATACAAGTAGCAATATTTATTCACCTTCATTAATCGTCTTTTTAATCCGGGGCAGCATCAATTGGTGTTAAAGTTGTTGAACACCAAATTTTGACAACTGGATTCCACAAGGGGGTTATTGCTGGACTACTGTTGTTTTCTACACATTCAAAAAGAACTACCAAAGCTGGTGGTTTGGTGAGCCATCTACTAATTACTTCCTCATCTCTTTTTTGCTTAAATGATTCTCCAAAATAGAGGCAAAAAACCTGCATAAGTGACTAAGTTGCTATTAACATTGATGACTAATTTATTTACTAATTAATATAGTATCTCCATATTAATATATTATTATTCACTGTTCATACAGCTGTTCGTGTAATGGAAATGAACTAAAATATTCCCACTTTTTTCAGGTCAAAACAGTGATCATTGGTCTTGGACCAGGAATACTTCCTATGTTTATGAGAAATCGCCTACCTTCTCTAAAGATTGAGGTACAACGAAAATTCTGGCTGTGTTGATTTACCATTTTTTTCAATTCTCTTCTCCTTATGTATATTCTTAATTTGCCAGGTCGTCGAGTTAGATCCTGTGGTTCTGAATGTTGCTAGCAATTATTTTGGTTTTACAGAAGATGAAAGGTTGAAGGTGATATTCTATTTTCTAACGTTTTCTTGTTTAAGGTTGTGAAAGGCTGTTGATTCTAAACATCCACATTTCATTTAGCTGTAACATGCAAATGTTTGAAGATGCTTACATTAATTCTGACTTAAAACTGCAAAAAATTGCTCATACTTTTAGTACTCTCCTTCTTCTCATGTTCAGGTACATATTACTGATGCAATTAAGTTTGTCAGAGAGAAAGCAAATTCTGAGGCAGGTAGGTATAAAGTAGCAACAACTAGTTGTGTACTGTAGTAATATAGAAAAGGTCACAACGGCATGCTCAGCAGCAAGTAGTTAACCGTAGTTCATGCAGATGGAAGCAAAGTTGATTTACTTATAATCGATGTGGATTCATCAGACTCAAGGTAACGGAGCTTTTAATAAAATAAAATAAAGAAATAATTTTATTTATTTATTTTGGTATCATTTTTTTTTTCACCTGCTAGGTACTGTTTTTTTTTTTTTTTTAAATTGTGCAGTTCGGGCTTAATCAGTCCCGAGGCAGACTTTGTTGAGGAATCTTTTCTATTGACCGTAAAAGACTCACTTTCCGACAAAGGTTTATTCATCTTTAAGTTGATCCCGAAGCACTACTTTACTAGTATGAGGGCATCGGTGTATTCAAAATTGAAAAGGGTGAGAAAAACTCGTGAAGTAACATTTGTTTCGGTTTTTTTTTTCCTTCTCTTTGCATTATGTTTTGATGATACATGGTGGACATTTGACAGGTATTTAGCAACCTGTATCACATGTACGTGGACGACGGCTTCGTCGAAATAATATTTGGAGTGAAGAAGGAAGGTCCGGTTGAACTTGACGAAGTTTGTAAAGCACTTGAAAGATCGTTACTGGGTAATTACAAGATGCATCCTTGGATCAATAATGTGTTACATGATTCCAAATTGATCAAACCATTAGTACTACCCTAATGATAATGGTTTTATTGTAATTAGTGACTGACTGGTTTGTGCTTCTTTTTGTATAGCTCTATTAAAGGAGTGTTACTATACTATGAATGTGAGCAGATATTGTAAATATCTGGTGATCTGATGAGAGGCATTACTGTGTTGATATAATACATTTGCACATATTAGTATTACCCTTTATTGCTGTAGTTTCTTGAATTTTGACACTATACTTTTTTCATTTAAAAAAAATAAAAAAATAAAAATAATGATTCTACTTCAATCAATTGCTACCACTCCTCTTCCCAGATATTTGGAGAGAAATCCCACTCTCTCTCTCTCTCTCTCCTCTCCTCTTTGTGAGTGTGTGTGTGTGTGTGTGATGAACATCCATCACACTATTTCTTCTTCTGCCCATCACTCAAACACTTACAGCCCACTAAACACAACCATGTCAAAGATTTCATCAGCACCACCAAAATTGTCTGAAATCCAGGACGTGAGATTTTATTACCTATTTATTTAATTTCTTGTTTTTCTAAGACTAGAAAAATATTTTAACTTCAATCTCATTTGTGTGTATCTAAACTAAATGATTGTTTACATCAATAGTGCTCAATTTGGGTGTGGATCATTCAGCTTCCCTCAACAAAAATCACACATTTGGAAATTATCAGAAACAAAGAAGAAGAGATTTATAATAATTAGAGTGAGGTCGAAAGATGAAGCTGCTGTTGCTGTGAGTAAAAAGGGCACTATTGCTGGTGCAGTTGCTCTTATTATTGGCACTAGTATTGGTTCTGGCATTCTTGCTCTTCCTCAGAAAACTTCACCCGCTGTAATTACTACTTTTTTCTTTTTCCTTTTTTTTTGTGATTTCAAGAAAATGGGTTTTGAGAAAGATTAAAGTTTTCATCTTAAAAAACAATAAAAGCAGGTAAATTGATTGATTTTAGACCAATTATTTCTTAATGAAAATGGGATTTGAAAAAGATTCAATTTTTCATCTTAAAAAACAATAAAGGTTTGGTAAATTGGTTGATTTTAGACCAATTGCTTCTTCAAGAAAATGGGATCTGAATTTTTCATCTTAGAAACTATGAAATTCGGAAAAATCAAATCAAGAATCGATGGGTTCGACGAAATTGAGCTTTTCTTTTTTCATCATTTACCGTCTCTTATAGTGATATTTTTGCATTTTCGACACTCATGTACATATTGTTATATTTGTAGGGACTACTTCCAAGTTCAGTATCAATGACAATGTGTTGGGCATTCTTGTTAGTCGAAGCGCTTTTGCTGGTCGAAATAAACGTCGGTTTGCTAAAGAAGAAGAAATCGAAAGTCGACAAAGATTATGATGAGTTGGAGGTAATATCTATTAGAACAATGGCTGAAGAAACACTTGGAGAATGGGGTGGATCTTTAGCAACTGTCACATATGTTTTCTTAGGTTACACTTCTATGATTGTCTACTGTTCAAAATCGGGAGAGATTCTGCATCGTTTGACCGATATTCCGGAATCAATTTCCGGAATCTTCTTCACTTTTCTTTTCACAATTCTTATATCTCTTGGAGGTACAAGAACCACTGATCAAGTTAACCAATGGCTTACTGTGTCTATGATAGGTACAATGTTTGCTGTAATTCCCTATTATTGCCTTCAATTGTAAGCAAATGTATAGGAATTTTTTTTTTAATAATCTGGTGGGTTAGGGGTGGAAATTAGAATGTAATTTTTCCGATTTCTGTCGAATTCGATCCAGTTTTTTTTTCAATTTTGGAACAATATTTTTCATGCTGAGTCTCAAAAATTACTATTTCCTGTGTTTTTTTTTTGACATTTGTGGATTTAATTGGAATTATGTATGAGATTCTGATTTCTGATTCGATTTTAATTTCCGAAAACAATAAAAAAAATATTTACTCTGAAAATTACACTTATAATATAGTATTTATATTTTTAGGTGACTAAAAATTGGAATTTTCCGGATTCCGTTCAGAAAATATCCGATTTTGGAACAAATTATTTTTTCATCCCAATTTCCGATGTTCTTTTTCCCACTTTCAAAATTAAAATCGAAAATTTTCCGAAAGTGCAAATTCCGATCTGATCAGTGCGATTTTTCACCCCTAAATTCTTGATTAGTAATTTTTTTGGTATTAGTAAAAGAAGACGATGATGAAATGCAGGTTTGCTTATAGCAATAGAGATTGTTGCTGTCCACTTCGGAGGGTGGTCGGGATTCGAGGGCGGCGGCGGTGGCGACTGGGGAAAAGTTCCGGCGACTCTTCCGGTGTTGATATTTACGTTGGTTTATCACGATCTTGCTCCAGGTTGATATTTTCATGAGAATGCATACATAATTCGATTACCGTCTTTTTTCGTTTTTTTTTTTTGTTTTTTTTTAATTGAAATTGTGTTTGTTGTTCGTGCAGTTCTTTGTGCATATTTGGAAGGCGATCTTAAACGCATACGGGCTTCGATTTTTCTCGGAAGTTTGGTGCCATTGTTAGCATTGCTTATATGGGAGGCAATTGCATTAGGCCTTCCCAATCAAGAAAATCAAGTTTCTGATCCTGTTGAATTGCTTCTCAGGTTAGTTACTTTCCCAGGTTTATTGCAATTAGCACCCTTGTCTTTACTTTAATTGTTAAAAAACCCTCCATGCCATAACTTTTAGCAAAATCCTACTTATGATTTGATTTCATTACCAAACTACCCCTAAAATGCATCATTTTATAGGATTTTTTCCGCTAATATTTATAACAACTTGTTATTAACAAGATGTGTTTCTTTTTATCAATTCAACATAACACATGGACACTAAATGCAACAAACTCTTACTTTCGGTTATCGAGCAAGATTAGGTGCATAAACTAATCAAGTCGAGCAGATCGAACGCATGATTGTTCAAATTTTTGCTTCATAAAAAAAAAGCTCTAGTTGAGCTTAATACTCATTTTTATTCTAATAATCGAGCTTCATCTCTAGCCCAACTTCATATCATATCGAACATAAATATGAGTGCAACCTTACCTCGTTATGTACAAAACCAAACTCAAAAGATGCAATTTATTTTAAAAGAAATATCGAGTATTTTACTATATTTCTATTACAGTGTGAGATGGGACGGAGTTCCGTTTATGGTGGAGGCCTTCTCGCTATTAGCTGTCGGAACTTCACTAATCGGCACACTTTTAAGCTTTTCGGAGTTCTTCAAAGAGCAACTCAATAAAATGCCCATTGATTCTCCATCAACACAACTTCTTCTTGTGGAAGAGGTATCAAGATTCTATTCTTGTGTAATAATTTAATTATTTGCTTTAAGAAATTAAATATATAAACTATTTTAAGTGCATGATTGAAGGCTAATTAAAAGTAAATTATTGTTTTGAAGGAATCATACACATTTAATTATTACATGAATAAATGGTGGCATAAAAACAAAGGCAGCATCACAGCTACTGCAATGGTTGTTGCCCCTTCTCTTTTTGTGTCTACAACTATACCAGATTCTTTTTCTGCAGCCACAGATATTGCTGTAAGTCTTGTTTATATATATATATATATATATATATATATTTTTTTTTTTTTTTTTTTCTTGATAACAATTTTTTTTTTTCAAAAAAGAAAAAAGAAACTAATAATCGAGTGTGCTCGTTGGATGAATAGGGAGGGTACTGCATGACAATGTTGTATGGAGTACTTCCACCGGCAATGGCGTGGGCGACGATCAATAAGAAGAAGAAGAAAAAACGAGGCGAAAAATTAGTATCGATATCAAGAACAAAACCCGTGATTGTTTGTATGGGATTGATTGCTTGTGGGATTGTGGTACAGCAGATCATTCAAGATTTCTCTTTCTTGCATTATCCCTAACAAAATTTATTTTGTCTCAATGTAAATATAGTATTTACTTTTTAGAAATTTGTAATATATATTTATATATAATTCTGTGTAAATACATATAGACCAGGAGTGTATATTTAATGGCTCTGTATTTTTCAAAATATTTTAACGGCCTTCTAATTTTTTTTTGGAGAAAATACTGAAAAAAAAAATTATGGAGAAAACATAGTTTTAAGAACAATAAGTCAATAACACATTGTGTAACACGCATTTTAGTATATTAAACTATTGGCTGCGGCTATATGCAAGACTAAAACCACTTGTGCAAGACCAAATTAAAAATTTCAATGTATAAATACTATAATACACTTACTTGTTAAAAAAATAGAATATTCCAAATGTGCAAGACCAAAAATTCAAAAACACAAAAAACCCTATCACAAAACCACAAGACCAACTCTCATCTTCTCCATCTTCCAAAACCCACAAGACCTTTCTCCTTCCTCCTCCATAAACCTACAAAACCTAAACATGTAAAATCATCAAAACTCGACAAATCTTACAAAGATGGCAAGTATGGATCAGAATACATCAAAATAGAAGATTCTACGGTGGAAAAACCCAAGAAGATATGCATTTATGGGGTTTTTTAGCTAGAATATCGTTTTTCCAAAAAAAATCCCGCGCAAACGAATTCGACATGTACAGGTCGAATTTTATGGGTAAAAATCGACATTTAGATGTCGAATTTTAGGCATAAAATTCGACATTTGGCCTAAAATTGGTCTACTCGCGTGTTTTCACACGAGCAACTTATTTATTTATTTTTTCTAAATTTTTTTTGTTTAAATTAAATACTAATTCATGTTTTTTTTAAATTCTAGATGGCCGGAGGTAGAGGGAAAAGTTTAACGAGTCAAGTTACGGGAAAAGGTAAGAGTTTAATGAAAGCTTTGGGTCGGAAGTCGAATCCGGATGATCCGGATCATATTGGAGATCGGGGAGCTCTTGCATCCGATCGTAGAAGGAAAGCGACGGCAATTTATGTCAATCCAACCACAGTTACTTGATTTGATAGTGTTATTTATATTTTTATATTTATAGTTAGGATTATTGTAACAAGGAATATATATAACATAAACAAAATGTGTAAAATGATTATAATAAATAATGTTAAATAGATTATTAATTATCCTATTCATTATTATTAAATAATTTAATTAAATTATTTCTAATAAAAAAATATAAAAAATGAATGGACTTGAGCTTAATCCATGTAGATCTTACGATTCGAATAAAATGTAAATGTAAAAAATAAAATAAAAATTAAATCATATGATCTACGATTTAATTCTTACGATTTTTACAAACTAAACCAATTATTAAAAGAGAAATCACATCATAATATTTTGATAATACTATTCATATATAATGTTATTTTTAAAGTAAGAATATTATTGAAATGAGATATAATCTATTTTTGTTAAAATAAACATCATTTATAATTTTAAATAATTATCTTATGATAAAATCCTCAATAATATTAATAAGTTCTTGTCAATAATTGAGGTAAATCGATTTAAATTAATTGAAATGAGTTATAATCTATTTTTTTAAATAAACATATTATTTTATTTTTCATTCGATTTTTTCACACTATCGATTTTAATAACATAAGTGAATTGATTCAATACTTTATATTTTTCAATAGTGGAGATTATATTGATATATTAATTAATAATAGATGTTTTGAAGTGTTGAACCGTGATTATATATATTTTTTTCTTATATTGCATTTGTTAATTATTTAATAATAATTAATATGAAAATTATTAATTTATTTAACATATTTATCATTTACACCATAGTTGTATATAATATATATTTATTGTCTATTTTTTATCAAATATGTTGGTTGGCCCAGTGGTAAAGAGCTGCACTTCTTCCCCACTGCCCCGAGTTTGAACCCCAAAATGTGAATTTTCGGACAAAAAAACCGGATATTTCCGGGTTGACCCGCCGGGTCCTCGGGCCGGGTCCCCGGGTCCGAGCCCTCGGGCCCCCCGCCGGGTAGACCCGTCGGGTCCCGGGTCCAAATAATCGGGACCTGAAACCGATCCGGACTTGGCCCGGTCCATGGTCAACGGAGTAGGGCCGAGGCGGGTCGGCGCGGTCAACGGGCGGGTCCGGGCCGGGTTCGGGTCAAACCCGGGAGGGGAAGGGGTCGTGGGGGACCGATGACTAGGGGTAGTGGTGTTGGGTTTCGGGCACGCGTACGCAGCGGAAAACAAAAATTTAATGCGATTTAAACTACTTTAAAGCACATAAGCACATGCCCGACAAATTTAATCAATTAATTGCGTACCTTTGCGCTTCCAGCGAAATTAAATAACAACATATATGCTAATTAATTTAACCGAATTTAAATCAATTAACATGCTCGCGTTTAAACCAAATAACATGCTTGCAATGATTTAAAACGATTACACATAATCACATAAAATCATACGAAAGCAAACATGAATATATATATAACGTTTAAACGAAACAAGAACTTCAAGTTCGTGTGTTTACCTCTTGAAGCGTGAGGTAAAAGCGCTAAGCAAGTCGAGATTGCTACGGAAACCAATCCGTACAATCGGGGCAGCAGCGGTGCAGCGGCAGCGGCGGTGAGACGGCCACGGCGGCGCGTGAAACTCAGGCGCGGACTTTCTGGGGTGGCGCGTGGGGCAGCGTGCGGCTTCGGCTCGTGCGCTGCTCCTCGGTTCTTCGATCTTCGGTCTTCCTCCTCTCGGATTTCACCTCGTATACTTCGATCTACTACACACGTGGCACTAGACACGTAATAGTTAGAAAAACGGAAGAAAAAAAGAAGGAAAGAAACTACCGAAACAATCGGCCGATGAACCGCCGATTCCGGTGAAGCTCCGGCGACGGCGCCGGTGACGGCCGCGGGGAGAGGGCGAGAGAGAGAGGGAGAACGGCTGCTAGGGTTAGGGTTTTTCACTTGTGTGTGCAAGACCTATAAATCTTGTATTTATAGTGTCTTGCATAAAACCCTAGCGGGCTTAAGTTGGACCGGGCCCAACAGCTTAAGTTTGCTAGTACTTTTACTTGCTCGTTTCTCTCAATCCAATGACCGAAAAATTGCAACGATTACATTTTCGGAATCATTATAAAGTCCTCGTCATTACGAGTGTCAATTCTCATTTTCCAACTTTCTAAAAGTGGAAACCCTAGTTCAGTGCACTTTCTAAATTTGGAAACTTCCCGATTTAGAAAGTCCACTACAACGTTCGCCTATTCTTTTCCTTTTCTTATTCTCATTCGTAATTCCAAATTACGAATATTGGACTCAATCGTATTGACTTCCAATTATGCAAAGATAAACTATTTTATCTCTGACCGTTTATTCAAAGATCTCATGTGCACGAGCAGTGTGACCCTCGATGGTTCAGGTGTAAGCTAGCCGTGGGCCCACAACCCTTTGTGGTAAAAACTCGTCCCTTAGAGTTACGATTAATATGAAGCTCGTTTCACCTTAATCACCCAACGAATCAAGATTGGCGTCTAGCAACTACGCGTCATGATTCCCTAGATACAAATGAAGTGCCTGCAAGAACCTTCAGATATAGTTAACGTACAGTACGATCCCTTCGATTCATATGTCCCGATCGAACTAGAGGCATTGGTTCATCGAGACCTCTTTATATGTTCAATGACGGTGCGATCGTTCTAAGTATTGTAATCGTCACGTGTATGACTTAGAGAATCGAATGCTCTAATCATCACTTAGTCAGCTCTGGCCAGAGACTTAGAATTATTACAAACTTTCAGAACACACAGGACATCCAAGACTATTCTAGCGATCGAATCCCCGACTACAATGCACAGACCTCCCACTAGATTTCGGACTGCACGAACACTGGCCCTTGGGATGGTCCTCGGTGGAACTCAGGGACAGGTCACGATACAGCTGGTCCTCTAGTGAAGTCACGGTGATGTCTAGGTCATAAGGACCAATGGTGTACAACTATACCATAGATATCTCTACTCGATTATTGGGAACCACTTAGAGATTTTTAGGGTGAGGGAGTTCAGTGAACTCGTCAACTTACGAGCACCCACTTATGCATGCCGATATCACAATACCGTTTACTGATGAGATGCAATACACATACACTAAGTGCTAGTCTTAATGGGAAAGGCCGATATCCTCATTAGTGGCGTAACCCTTCGACTAGGAACACGTTTAACAATTATAATACTTAAGTAAATATCTCACGATCCTAACGATCAATTACTAGTACTTGTAATAACTGTAAGGATTATATCTATGCTTGTGACAAAGATATAGAATGCCAAGGTGTTTTATCATTAATACGAATAAAGGTTCGTTTATTACAATAATAAATACGAAAGACCACAGCCACATGTTGGCTTGTTGGTCACCTACTCTAACAATCTCCCACTTGACCTAAAGCCAACTACCCATAAACCGCAATCCCATCGACTCTCGATGTTTCTCATGGACCGATCTCGGCAAAGGCTTCGTGAAGGGGTCTGCTACGTTCTCTTTCGAGGTGACTCGTTCTACCTTAACTTCACCTCTATCAATGATCTCTCGGATCACGTGATACTTCCTCAGAATATGCTTCGACTTCTGATGAGATCGTGGCTCCTTAGCTTGCGCCACGGCTCCGGTGTTATCACAGTACAATGGTACTGGATCACTAGCATCAGGAATGATACCCAACTCTTGGATGAATTTCCTTATCCAAGTCCCTTCTTTTGCAGCTTCGGATGCTGCAATGTATTCCGCTTCGGTAGTGGAATCAGCCGTTGTGTTTTGCTTGGAACTCTTCCAACACACGGCACCACCATTAAGCGTGAATATGAATCCAGAATTCGACTTTGAGTCGTCCACGTCTGATTGAAAACTAGAGTCGGTAAAACCCTCTAATTTCAACTCGGCACCCCCATAGACCAAAAATATATCCTTAGTTCTTCGCAAGTACTTGAGGATATCTTTCACGGCTTTCCAGTGAGCCGGGCCGGGGTTAGACTGATATCTGCTTGTGACACTCACAGCATACGCAATATCGGGTCTCGTACATAGCATGCCATACATTATGCTTCCTATGGCAGAAGCATAGGGCGTCC